CAGCCCCAGACATTGTGTCTAGCACATGGTAGGGGATCCATGTAATTCTTTACAGAGTAAACATACCATTCCAGAAAAATTTAAATCCTAGGTCAGTTAAATATTCCCCTTGGGTTAAATAATCTCAGAATTTTTTTGCAGACCAAGATCTTAAAGTTATATACATCAAAGCTCCACATCGACCTGGATCTGGCTCACAGCCCTCTGTGTCAAGACCAGGTCAGTCCCACTTCCATGCACTGCTGATGGCATTGCAGATGGATCTGGCCTTCAGGGAGGAATTTTCAGCAAGATCTATCAAAATTACAAACAGACGTCTGATGTCACCCGTCAATTTTGTTTCTAGGAATTTATCCTACAGATAGATTCCTAAGCATGCAAAATGACAGAAGCACAAAATCATTTAATTTACTGTAGCAACAGTCTGTAAATAACCCTAAAATCCATTGATAAAAAAGCAGTTAAATAAATCAAGGTCACATGAAGGAATGCTATGTAGGCATAAAAACAATGAAGAATACTTCCGATGCCAACGTGGAGCAGTCTCCAAGGAACATTAGGTAACAAGAATGTGTGCTGCGCTACCACCTGTATCAAAAAGAGGAAAAGCACTTCCAGAATGGTACAGCAAGGATCGCCGAACACCCGTTCCTCCATAAAAGCAACAAGAACACTGGCAACAGCCGTCAAAATAAACTTTTCAGAACTCTGGAAATTAACCAGACTTGTAAGAACTCTAACAGCAAGGGCATTTATGCAAGAAAAATAACTGATAACCCCAGTAAGAACAAGTTTTGTGACATGTTAATGTGACCTATTTCTACCCCCTTTCTCCCCAGAGCTGCAGTTTTGAAACTAAGAGCCCTGTAAGAGTAGCCTCTGGAGAGAGATCAGGATCGAAACTCCCCAAAAAGCCCCATCCCCAGAAAACAGTCTGACCTGCATGGCTACTCCACAGAAAAGACCATTCGAGGGGCTTTTTCCTTGACCCAAGTCAGGGCTTGCTCATGAGAAGAGCCCTATTCCCAGATGTTTATCAAGAACAATCAACAGCAAGTGTTTAATCTGCCAAATACCTGAGGGAGTGCTACCAGTTGGGGAAGAGGCTGGCCAAAACACTCGAAAGGAAATCTGGGAATAAGATGTCTGCAAGGCATTTTGAAATGGTCCCTTATATTTTTAGGGATTTAGAAGGCCATGCACACAGGAAAAACCTGAGAAGGCTTCAGTTCTCAATTCTGGCTGACTTTGAGCATTGAAGGTATGCCCCCCCCCCCCAAACCCTAAGCAAAAGGTGAGAGACTTACCGATTCAATGCATTGAACAAAATCTCTGCCCTGTCATTAGCTGATAACTAACCTAACCAAGCAGAAACTTGAATGGCCAGCCCCACATAACAAAGAATACAGACTTTACAGATTTAGTCCAGGAGAGTCACTCAATAAACAGGAACAACAGGGGCCCTTGGGTGGCTCAGTCGGATGAGCAGCCAACTCCTGATTTTGTCTCAGGTCATGAATTCTTGGTTCATGAATTCAAGTCCGGCATTAGGCTTTGCACTGTCTGTGCAGAGCCTGCTTGGGATTCTCTCTCCCTTTCTGCCTGCCCGCCTCAAAATAAATAAATAAACATTAAAAAAATAACACCAAAAACAGAAACAACAAAAACGGAGGAGAGGTGGGGAACTGATTTCCAGAGTTGCCACATTATAGTATTTGAAATGTTCAGCCTCTCAACAAAAAATTAGAAGACATGCAAAGAAAGAGGAAAGCATGGCCCATACGGATGGTGTTATTTCTTCTGGGAAATCTTCCCTGGCCCCCAAGTCCAAGCTAGGAACCCTGTTCTGGGCTCCCATGGTGCCTTAAATTACCCCAGTCAGAGGCCCATCCTTCTAAGCTAGGCTATAATTGCCTGATTGCTCATCATGGCCTCTCTCCCACTGGGCTCTATCAGGGAGGGACTGCATCTGGTTCTTCAGCACCATACCTCCTGCAACAAGCCCAAGTAGCATGGCAGAGTATCTGCTAAAACAATGAATGCACAATTCATGATCGATTCTAGTGCCACTAAAAAACTCAACAGAGAAAGACCAGACATTTCCTTCCACCTTTTTCCAAGGGGGCATTTAAGAATTATCCTGATGCTTGTAAAGGGCACTTTAGTGCTATAGATCCCAAAGAAATGAGTGGCTTGAGCTTGAAGACTGGGAAACCTTTGACCAGTTTAGCAAAATTTCCTGCTATCTTACAGAAAAACACTCTGCCTCCTGTAATGGAGAAGTGTTGTACCTGCGGGAGGTGGAGGGGCCCCGGTGGTGGTCAGTGCCGGACTCCTTCACAAGGTTTCCTTTGCAGCAAATAACCCTTAATTTATCCTGGTATGAGGACGCCAGGTAAATCGCTCCTGAGGAAATTGCAGGGCCCAAGTAGCGTGGGTTCGGGATTTCCAAATACGCTCGGGCAGGGGTCCTATGGAGTTCCAGATAAGAGTTTACATTCAGGTTATCTCCGTTGCTAGATGGAATGGAAAGAAACACACACTTGGCCCCAAGCCCCAACCGCCGAGGTTTTCAAAGTCTGAAAGGGCAATGCTTACCCCAGAGAAGAGCGTGCCTGGATCTCAATTACTTCTAGTGAGTTGAAGTGGGTCACAAACAGATAGGGTTCTCTGTAGGCTGCATGGCCACCACAGAAGAGCATGGGCAAGGAAGGGTTAAAAGAGAAACTCAAAACCAGGCTGCAAGGCCACCTTGGACCTAGCAGTCCCACCTAAAGGGATTTATCCTACACATACATCCATGTGCCAACATAATGAGGCATGTTTAAGTATACTCACTGCCATGTTGTCAGAGCAGACGATGGGAACCAACTCAAGGGGACATTATAGGGGGTCAGTTAAATAAATTATGGTACATCTATGGAATTCTGCATAGTTGTAAAACCTGCAGGAAGCTCTCTATGTACTGATACATAAAAAAAACCTGAAGTGTACAATTTTACTTAGTGTGAAAAGCAAGATTCAGAATGTGTAAAGTGTGTCACCATACTGATTTAAACAAAAAGCATTTTTAAAGTGTGTTGGGGGTAGATAAGAATATATTTTCTTATGTGTCTGTATTTGCACAAAGCACTGGAAGGATAAGAAACTCAAAGAAGTATTTTTTCCCCCTTTGGGGGAGAGGGAATGGAGAATTAGGGAGACAGGTTATTTGGGTGAGGCTTTTCATTGTATACCTTTTTAAAGTGTTTCATTGTGTATGTTTTCAAAAAACATTAAAGATCGGGTTCATAGATAATTAAATATTTCTGGCCTTAATACTATATATCAATATCATAGTGTCACTGAAACTCTAGGATATGATGAGATCTTTTTCTGTCTTAAAAGTAAAGGAGATTATCACTACCATTCCTTTCAGTAAACTAGGACTTTGGTATTAGACTGTTAGTCGTCCCTCCTGGTACTCAGGCCCTGGCGGATAGAGCCTCCTTCCCTTGAATCTAGGCTGACCCTGTGGCTGCTTTAACCAGTAGGATGTGGTGGTAGCAAGAAGGCCAGCCAGCTTGCACTTCTGCACTCTTGGAAGAAGCCCACATGGAGAGGAACTGAGACCTCCAGCCACCAGCCCAAGCTGAGTTCCCAACAATTATACCAATTGCCTGCCATTTTGTGAGGCCATTTTGGACTTCCTGCTTATCCCAGTGCTCCCACTGGAACCGCACGAAGCAGAACTATCCAGTCCAGCCTCAGCATCTTAGGCAATGACAAGTTGTTGTTGTCTTGTCCGTAACAAGTTTTGGAACTTGTTATGCAGCAATAGATAAACCAAATAGCCTCGACAGGTATTTCAACCGTAACGGCATTTCAGAACATTCACACAGACATGTATGTACATATTTGCACATAGGTGTGTGCTTATGCTTTGACCCAGCAGCTCCACTTTGAGGGCTTATGAGCAGCAGGTACTATTTGACAAGTGTGCAAAGATCAGTGCAAGATGTTCATCATAGCAATGTTTGTACTTACAGAAAGAATGAGCATGATCTACCTGCTCTGCCTAATCAGAACTGATTAAACTGACAGGTGTTCAGCTATGCCATGGGATACTCTGCAGCCTTTGAAATGATTTAAATTCACAGGCAATGCTCTCCTTTCTGTCATGAGAGCCTAACAGATATTTCACAAGGCCAGTGGCCTTGGCTTACGTGGTTCTTCATCAGAATCTTTGCCCTGAACACTTCTTCAGGTGACTCTCACCTGTGGTGCTTGGTGTCTAATGTAATCCATAAGCATAGTGCTTAACCCAAAAAGGAGTCCACCTGCAATTTTTTCCTAGGACACCAGCTGCTGGCAGAACAGAGCCCTCCATACCTTGCATCACTTACCAAAGGCCAAAGGTAAGCGACTCCACTTGAGATCGTCTGTGCGGCTACGTCTTCCATAAGAATCCACGAACACCCCAAATTCTGCAAGGAGTTGGAGCCCGGGGCATCAGCACAGCCAGGGGCATCAGTATCAACGACACATACTTTGATAGAAGAATAAGGGACTGAACCAGGGGACCACCAGCCAGATTTAACTGGATCATTAAAACCTGAAGACCTTTGCTGAGTCACATCTCTCAGAGATGTGTTAAAGGAAAGCGGAAGAGACAGAAAATAAGAGGCAAAAGGAGGAGGAAAAGGAGAAAGAGAGACCCAGACACAAGGAGGAACAGACAGAAAGACCCAGAGATAGGAAGAAGGGGGGAAGTGAAAAAGAATGAAGAGAAACATCACAAGAAAATGCAAGAAAGAAGGAAGGGAAAAAAGAGAAAAGAAAGGGAGAGAAAGAAGGGGCAGAGAAGGAAAGAAGTGGCTGCTTCAGGAGAGAATATGAGAGAGCTGGACCAGGCAAGGGTGCTGGTAGGGTCTGGGGCTCCTGGTGTCTGCGAGCCATCAGACCAGTGGCGGGCAGGAAGCCCTGACTCACCGTGGAAGCAGAGCAGGTACTCCTCCCGCTGCCCTGCGCCATTCACCTGCACGATCGAGACAGGGAAACTATTGGAAGAGGAGGCAAACACAGCAGGCGCCAAGGAATGGTCATTCTTATCCAGGAATTCTGTAAAGTCAGGTGAGAAGCGGGGCTTCAGGAATGAGCTAGTGTTGGTGGCAAGGCTGGAGCAGAGTGCGGGCTGGGGGGAGGACTTGGGCCCTACCCTCAAGCGTGTACTGCTTCATGTCAATTTCGTAGAATTTATTGGTTCCAATAAGGATACTGTAATTGGTGAAGTGGATGCAGCTGCAGGGCTCTGAGGTCTCTATCTCCTGAGACAGAGGGTAGAAGAAAATGGTGTGAGTTAACACAGGGCAGCCCCATTTCCACTGCTATTCCATTTCCGCCTCAACTAACCACGCCTTGGAGACGGTCACCTCTGGACTTATTCACGTTCTCAGCCACACAAAGCACACGCCATCTTTTCATGTCCCCCATGAGGGCTGATCATCCCTTTGCTACCTCTGAGTTCTTTGCAACCCCAGACCAAGAAAATAAGGTCAAATGGCAGCCAAAAAGAGTCAGAAACACCATTTCAATGAAAAGGTTGCAAAAACAGATCTTTAAAAATGCAAATTCTTATCTGAGGAAAAGAACTGGAGAAAACAGGGTTAGAGAGAGTGGTTTTAAGCTTCCTTCTTTTGGTAAGCTAAGTTTCTAACGTGAACCTGTATCACCTATATGATTATTCTCATCATCATTGTTGTCATCTCCATTAGTGATGGGCTAATTACTTCCACTTGTTTTCAGGCCAGTCCTAATAGTAAAAAAAACCTAGGCATGCTTATTCAAACGGTAGCCAAGAATTACAGGGAAGCAGTGATTTCTGAGAAATCTCCTAAAGCTAACAGTTCAAGTTCACAATCCACACTATCATCACTGAATATTTCTGATCACCTGCTAAGTATGAGGAAACTTTTAGGCAGCATGACACAGTGAAATGGCAGGGAAAAATCAAACTTCAGTTTTGGTCTCAACTTTGTAACAGGATCTCAAGCCAGCCTCAATTGTCTAACCTGAAAATTGGGGATTACCACCCCTGCATTTCAGAACTGTTGTGGAAAGTATATAATAACCAGCTCAGTTTCTGGATGGTGGACGAACAGCCCACCCAGGATGAAACTATTTCCCTAACACAGAATGACCTCTATGTATGTTCACCCATCAGTCATTTCACTTCTGAGACTAATCATGAAGACACCTGAAATAAAGCAGGCTTACTACAGGTGGCGCTTTCCTAGCCTAGGGACAACGGCCAGTCTCAGGAAGTGAGGCAAATGATCCAATGTGCACCTTGTCCACACGGCAGTCACCATCACCACCACTCTGCTCCAAGGACAATCAGCTCCCTAATTACACATCAGAACACAGCTAGCACTGGCTTCTCCAAAGGTTAATAATAGAAACTTCTAGGATCTGACATAAATTCTGATAAGTGCCACCAGAGACTGCTAGCTTCTCAGAGAGATGTCCTTCCTTTTTTATGCGAATTGAAACGAAGTGTCTCTTCCATCAGCCAGCTTCCTTTCTCCCGTAACAAAGGGCTGAATTCACTGGGCAGGCTAGAGAGGCCGTTCACAAACAGAAGGAAAATGAGAGGGAAAAGGGCAGCCACTCAAGGCTCTGAAGCTTCCTCCAGGTGTGTCTGTCTCTTTCCCCCTCTCCCCCTACCTAGAGATCGCCAAGGCTGAAGGGACCTGGCACACACTGTTCCCTGAGACGGCACGCCTTCCACACCAATTGGTGGGGACAGCAGGACAGGTGAGGCCCAGGACTTACTTTCCGAATGCAGTACTTGCTGAGGTTTTCATTGTAGCGGAGAATGATGACTTTGCTGGGCATGGCTGCACAGATGCAGAGCCCGTTCTCAATCTGAAAAGCAATCAGGGAACAGAAAAAGAGTGTCAGTCGTGTGTATACTGGCTCCAGAGCAAAACTAGGAATATAACATCAATTTTTTTTAATGTTTACTCATTTTTTGAGAGAGAAAGAGACAGAGTGTGAGCAGGGGAGGGGCAAAGACAGAGGGAGACAGAATCTGAAGCAGGCTCCAGGCTCTGAGCTGTCAGCACAAAACCCGATGTGGGGCTCGAACTCCCGAACCAGGAGATCATGACCTGAGCCGAAGTTGGACGCTTGACTGAGTGCACCTACCCAGGCACTCCCAAAAAACTTTTTTTAAATAAAAAGAAAAGAATTGATAAAACTGACAGAGCACACAGTGTTTTACCTTGCTCAGTCCCCGTCTGAAAATCCTGGGCCCATCTAGCAATGTCTTTTATCAGCCCCTTAAGATTCCTCTAAGAAACCTTTTCAAATCAACACCTTTCTAGGCCAGCCATTCTCCTACTTTATATTCTGCCCCCCCCCTTTTTTTTTATTGCCACAATTAGTCACAACCATCATATAAGTGACTAAGAAAAGAATTCCAGAGACCAAAAGTCCTCAAGAATAGTGACCAAGGTCAAGGCCCCTTCAGGAGGTTCCTGGAGTCAACCAAAGCCCTCCCCCACTGGTCCTCCATTCCTCAGCACAGAATTCTCTGAAGGCTCAGTCAGGGACACAGGATGTGTTGGGTAAATGCTGACTCAGTGGCTAAACAACAGATTCCCAGTGAGCCATTTTCTGAGAAGGGAAAGTCAGTGGTTGTCAACAGGATGACTCCAGTGGCCTCAGGCGGCCTGCAAATGCTTGATTCAGATTTCATTAAAGTTAGACATGTTCATGTGTAGGCACCCACAAACGCTCTTAATTTTTTCAATAAAAAAAGTTTCCCTAAAGAAGCAGGCAAGAAAATAAATGTATTTATGCACCAAAATCAATATGCTATTAGCTACCAAACAATTAACCTGAGTTATCGTGAACTGACTTTATGTTCTATAAGTGTCATAAATCAGAATTTGCTAATTTCTAGTAATAAAACATTTTTCATCCAGTCCAGGAGTGGGGATCCATGTTAGATTAAAAAAAAAAAAAAAAAAAGACTCTGTCCTACACACACTGACACAGATATACACACACGTACACATTCTAAGCATGGATCTTCCTTTCAGTTTTGTTAAATTCTCATTTTTCTCTCTGACATTTCCTTTAGATTCAAAGCCTGTGCAAATTTCATGGCTACACAAATTCCTTCATGTGTCTAAAGAAAGCAACAGAAATTTAACCCAGTTAGAAGACATACAATTTTGAAGGTCAAATTGGTAAGCTGCCTCAAAAGGAGGGAAGAGCCGATTTCAAGAACATTCTGCCAGCTGAGGCCCTGAGGAGAGCCTACCTTGCCAGCAGCAAACAAGTGACAGCCCTTCACGGCTTCAAAAACGTTGGGTGAGATGTCAGGCTGGGCGGGAAGGTGAGCCTGCGCCAGGGACTGCTTCACTTTCTTCACGTCAACAAGGCACAGAGCTCGCTCTTCTCCTGAAGGGAAAAGGAAGAGCTTCACGGTCAGTGTGAGGCAGGGAAGCAAAGGTGCAGGATGGCAGTTCTACTTCTCTTCACAAACATCCACGCGGGGCCATGCAGGTCAACAGAGTTTCCCAGACACTCCTGTGTACACAGCTTAGGTCCAAGTTTCAGATCTAAAATGAAAACATCTGGCCTCTTGGTCAAGATCCTGGGATGAAAAAAAAAATTCTGCCGACATAATCAGAGAATGTGAACTATACTTTCAAACACAATCCCCATCAAAGTGAAGATGAGGATGGGTTAGGAACACGGAGGGGACATTTTATGAAATGACAGGCTCGGACCGTTCCGATAGGTCAGTGTCATGGAGGACCAAAGGAAGGCCAAGGATGCATTCCAGATTAAAGGAGACTAATGGAACACTACTAAATGTAGTGCACAATCTGGGACTGGATCACAAATCAGGGGGGAAAATACCAGAAAGGATGTTATTGGAGCCGCAGGTAAATTCTAACTATGAGCAGTGTGTCAGACAACTGCATTCCAACGAGGGATAAATTTCCGGAATCCAAAAACGGTGCCACATGAAACTATTCTGTGTGATACTATGACAGTAGACCCATGCCACTACACGTTTGTCCAAACCCACCAAGAGTGAACCCTCACGGACACTCTGGACCCTGGCTGATGATGTGTCACTGCAAGTTCATTAGTTATGTCCAATGTCCCACTCTAGTCGGGGATGCTGATAGTGGGGGTGGAGGGATACTGGAACTTTCTGTCCTTTAAGCTCAATTTCACTGTGAGCCTAAAACGCTTCTAAAGAATAAAGAAAGGTAGGAAGGGAGGAAGGTAGGGATGGAGAGAAAGGAAGGGAGGGAGGGAGGGAGGGAAGGAAAGGAAGGAAAGGAAGGAAGGCAAGCAAGCAGAAAAACAAAAGAGGCAAAGAGAGTAAGTGTTGAGAGCCAGTTCCTGACCATATTATTTCAGCCACGCCTAAAACAAGACCTGACTGTGGATGTTTTTGAACATTGAGCCAACAAATTACTGTTTTCCATTAAAAAAAAAAATAGTACTGCCAATAAAGAGAGAAAAAAATTTTTGCCATGGTTATGTGAGACAATGCCCATGTTCGTAGGTGATACGGTGAAGAATTTGGGGTCACAGCTGCAAGGGACTCTCAGACGGCTCAAAAGTTAGTGTGTGTGCGCGCACGCATGTACGTTTGTATAGGAAGAGAGAGAAAATATGGCAAAATGTTAACCAGTGAACAGATGAAGTGTTTCTGAGGGTCACACAGAAATAAGAGGCAACATGCTAACAGGCAGGCTCTCAGAAGGCCATGGCTCAAGGTGGCATTGACCTCACCACGACGCTGGCATCAAAGCGTCTGATGTTACCAGGACTCTGAGGCTCCTACTCTTCCCCTGGCTGAATGGTGAAGTGTTCTTTAGGGGTGTCAGACTGTACTGCACTGGCCACCAGGGGAATGAATCTGGGCAGAGAGCGCCATCAGCTTGGGCACCAGCAGGGACACGGGGGAAAGAGCCGCTTCTGCTCCCATCTGCCTGCAGGAGGGCCTGCCTTTGTGTTTTGCAAGCGTGACACTGGCTTTCAGGTAGTTTCCCTCGACAGTGAAGAGAAAGCGCCATGTCCTTGGCCTACCACCTGCTATCATGAGTAGCTTCTCCAGGTCCTTGATGATATAAATTTGGAAGACTGCTCCGATTCCTGGGACATGGGTGAGGGAGTTTTTCAAGACATTCAGAGCGTAGAGCCCTTCCTCAGTGCCTACCAACACCACCTGCAAGGAGAGAAGGTCACAAGCACAACATAAGCACGATCACATCCCGGGGACAACCCCATCAAGGAAGAGCCCTTTCTTTCTTGACTGCAGGGGGTGGCTACTGCCAGTGTCCAGAGAACAGTGCTACCTGGTCGCTGAAGGGCAGTGTGCAGTTCATGTCTAGACGGTCATCACCTTCCAGTTTCAGCAGGGAGTTTCCAAGCAATTTCTTTTCGTATTGGAACAAATTTTAAAAAGAAGGAAAGAAAGGAAAAGAAAAAAACAAGGACATGGTAAGATGGAACTGTTCATGACCAAACCATCCAGAGAGATAAAAGCAAGAACAGAGAGAAGTTTGGTGCCAGGAAGGAAGGTTACTCGTGAAAATGCCAGAAACACACATTTGGTCTTGGCTTGCCCCCTATTTTGATCTGAGCTCAGAAGGCAAAACATGAATGTTACTGCTTATCTCTGGGGTGGTTGTTAATTAGCATCAAAGTAATGCCTCAGCTTGATGCAGAAATAAAATAGATGTAGAGAGATTTTCTGTGGTAGGAAATAAGCTGAGGCTAAAGAGATTCCACCTGCAAAGGGTTAATAAGCCACATGGAAGGCTCCTTCCCCTCTAGGCTGCAGCAAAAGTACAAAGCACAGTGTCAGCACCAAAGAAGCAAGCTTCTGAATCTCTTTACCTGAACCCACGCAGGCAGAAGCTCGTAGGAAATACAGTCACGGCCCTATTGTACACATATTAACATGGATTTCAATAGCAGTCTCACACAGGTAACCACAAAATAAGTCATCAAATCACTGGTCCACCCGGTGAGCAAAGCTCCGATAAGGAGGCTCATGGTTAAGAAGTTCACCATTGTGAACTGTGAAGGTGCTTACTAGGAGCCCAGCGTTTGGTCTTTGGTGGAGAAAACACCAATGAGCAAGGAGCCCTGTTTATATCCTGGAAGTTTCCAGGAGGAGTGATGCCAATCAAGGCACACCTACAGTTCCAACATCTTAAGGGTAAGTAGGATTCCAAACCTGCCTACAGAAGAGCAGTTCGTGTGGAAGGTACGAGAAGGTTATGAAAAGCCTTCCCGAAGTTGGCATGGCTGTCGGCAGACTTTTGTGCTGCTCCACAGCCAAGCGCTTGCAAATAAACTCATCAGAGTAAACGAGAAAGAGGATTTCCATATGAGTACATTTGCTGCCGTGACCAAGATCAATCGCCGCCCCAAGAGCTGGCTAACGGCACTGACTGCCTCATTCTAAAGGGCCGCCGGGGGAGGGTGTGTGACACCAGACAGACCGCGTACAGCCTGTATCTCAGTGACACAAGAGTCCCAGTCATGACAGTCTCAGCCATCCCTCCCCCAGAGAGGCGGCAAGAGGGGCCCCACCACTCAGGTCAGTTCCCAAGTCAGCCCACTTTACAAAGACAGACTCCAGCTCCTGCCTCCATACTCACAGCATCAGCTTCTGCTTTTTCCCTAGAAACTCTCCCACCTGCGACCACAGACTCTAAGGCGGTGACCCAGCGCTGCTTGTCAGGGAAGCTGGGAGCCAGCAAGTAGAGCGTTCTCCCGGGCCAGCAGGTGGTGTGTGGGTGAGACTCCATCTTCAGTATGTAGGGGACATCTAGGGGATGGGACAGACAGCAGGGGTCCGCTGTGGATTCCTCTCACTCTTGGGAGGGATGGCCCTGAGGTGTCAGACATCGCCCAGGCATGCAAGTCCTAGACCCCACTAAAAAGGGGGAGCCAAGGAGGGCACCCCCTCCTCCCCCTGCTGATTCATCCAGCCCAGTGCCCACCCCCACCCTCACCTCCCCACCCCACTCCACCCCACCCCCTGCCGTGGGTTCTCCAGCTTCCGCTCACCTGCTTTGGCTGTATTTGCAAGCTCAGAAGCACCAACGGCGCCATGAATAGATACATCCCCGTCGGGAAGGCACAGCTCAAATTCTTCCACCGGCCTCTGTCCAGCTTGGTGCAAAGAGGAAGGGCAGAGAGAAAACCAAAAGAACAGGAACAAGAACGAGGGGAGAAGAGAGGAAGAAAGAAACAGAGAGAGAGAGAGACAAGGCAAGAGAGACAGAGTATGCGTGGAAAGAGAGGCGCACGAGAACAAAGGAGGAGGGGAAAAGGTGTGCAGAGAAGGCGGAGAGGGAAGATAAAAACAAAATAAAGTGTGTCAGATGAGTAGCACAGTCAAATTTCTGCTGACGATGCGGATTTATGGGCTAGTTGACTGAGGCAGAAGTTCTCTGAAGGTGTATTAGCAGGTAGGATCTTCAGGGCAGCACCCTGCAGGTTCCTCAGAGGGGAGACCTATAGACGTGAGTATCGTACCAATAACCTTTAGCGAAGTCATTTGGTTTTTAATTTTCAAAAATGGAAAATCGTAGAAGGCTTGCAACGCAGTTGGAAAAACAAAGCCTTCACGCCAAGACTGGGAGACCTGGGTCAACCACGTGCAATGAAATTCCCCCTGAATTCTTAATTTACCTTCTCTGGCTTCGCTGTCATAAATGAGGACTTTAGATCCCTCCAGGACAATGTACTTCCTGTCCCAGCCTTGCTGTCCTCGTTTGTTATTCCTGGGGATATAGGGATGGATAAGAGCATAGGTTTAGACTCAGGAGGGAGGGAGGGAGGGGGAATCCTAGCCACGACGCTTCCCTAGGAAACCTCAGGAATGGAAGTGCCTGTGCCATCCATGTATCAGGGGAGGCAGAGCTTCCTTCTCCCCTTGTGGGTTCTGTGGCTGGCCTAGGCATTCCACTGGTATCAGACGAACAAGAGATAAGCATACGCTTTTTATTTTATGTGTGTGTACCTGGAAATCTCCATAAGAAAATAAAGACCCAAAAAGCAGATAGGCCTAGTGTTTGTATACTAGCTTGAACAAAGAGTAGTGGTTATGAAAAAGCAACTAAAATGTATGGGGAGGCTAAAGGAAGATAAGGTGTTACTTTAACAAGGCTTATCTGCAGAGTTTTGTCTACAAGCCTTGCCTCCTTGCTTCTGGTGAGAATATTTCTTTCCTCCTGGAAAAGGGAGGGGTGCTCTTACACGGGAGATTTATCTCCTGCTTTCAGGAAGAGAAAGGGGAGGTCAGAGGGGCCTTCTTAGACCTGCTGTTTCTCAAGTGCCTTTGGCTCAAAATAATCCTGGTTCCAAAGTGGCATATTTTGGGGTGGCATCTTCGCCGGCACATGCCCCAGCCCAAGCCACCCTGTCACAATACCTGGGCACTTTCATCCACCCTTCCAGGTGCAGGCCGCTGCTGGGCTCCTTGGTCTGGAGACCCGGGGAATTCATTTTGTCACGGCAGAAGGCCTCGGTGAAGTGCGTGGCATACTCGGCTGGCAGGCCACAGGTGGCTGGCAAGCACGTAGAGCACTTGGGATGACACATCACCTGACATTCTGGGGAAAAGCAGTTAACAACCTGAAAACACCTTGTCGAACCCTGGACCATTCCTCTTTCTGCCAGCCAAGCCCCAGCCAGGGCCCATCGGTCAGGCCCCATCACCCAGGTAAATCCCTAAGCTTTCGCAGGAGCCAGGTCCTCCCTACAGAGAGAGGAAACATGAGAGCCAAGTGCTCTCCACCCAGTTGTCCTGGCTTCTCCCCAGGCCGCCACAAACAGGCGTGTAGAGGACCCACCGGCAAGGTTCAGCTGGAGCCAGCACCCAGCCTAAAGGTGGGGAAAGGGAAGCCTGGCAAAACGGGAGGGCTGGAAATCAGCAAAGTGCAAGGCATTTTGCACACGGGGGGTGGACACGTGAGCTGGAAACATGTATAAGCTCTCTCCTTCAACGGGAAAAGTAGCGTCCTCCCACTGGAATGAAAAGCTTCAAAATGAATGCGCTATATGGTAAAACATTTTTAAAGGAAAAAACCCACACCCATCAGATGGATTTCTTTAGGGGGAGACATGCAGGTGCCCACGGCAAATGCACCACTGCTTCTCTTACCAAGACATTTGGATGCCTGGCGCCCAAAGTGCACAGTATCCAGACACACAGCGCACTTTGTGGCTCGCATGTTCAATCCTACGTTAAATCGGTGAGGAATATTGTGGTGCATGCGCTCCTTAAGACGCCGACTGAATTCTGAAGGAAAATGTTTAAAAATTCATTAGGTGCTGCAAATGATACCGTCTAGAAAGTAAAAAGACAACCCACAGAATGGGAAAGGATATTTAGAAATCATCTCTCTGACAAGGGGCTTGTAGCTAGAATATATAAAAAGCTCTTACAACTCAATAATAAACAAGACAACCCAATTTTAAAATGGGCAAAGGATCTGACTAGAAG